TTCTTCCACTTCTGTGGACAGGCAGACAGGGGCCACTAAATGGCCTGCTAATGGCCTAAAGTGTACTTGCTGATAATATTAAGCACTCGGCCATCACTTTAGGGGACCCAGAACTGAAACTGAAACTGGAAGTGGAAATCCGCAAGCTAGGCTCGAGAGAGAGAGAGAGAGAGAGAGAGAGGGCCATAACTGGTGTTGCTGCTTCCAATAAAATGTTGGAAATTATGACTTTTGCTAGATGAAATCAATTTACATGCATTCAATTACAAATTGTGAGCCATCAGGAGACAACAACAACCTCTTCTCGTTGGATCTGCCAGCTTTCCACGGCCATCAGTTTGCCATGTTTATGGGGCATTTGGGGCAGCGCCAATGGGGCCCCCAACTGCCTTGTAACTGCCTCATTTTTACGATGCTGTATGGCCAGTCAGTCAGCGGAGGACTGATCGTGGATTCGTGATCGGGCTCACATAATGATTGGTGCATGGTGCATGGTGCATGGTGCATCATGGGGCATGGGGTTTGTTGCGACAAGTTTTGTAGCGCAGTTAAACGTTTGCATGATTCTGATTTTAACGATAGCGCAGATACGGCACCAGGGAACAGGACAGGACATCCTAATTAGCGACTGACTGTGATGGCCATCAAAATAAACACTTGTACAATACGAGCGAAGCTGCCCCATAAACTGGTCAATTTTACAATGGGAAATGTGTGGCAAGGAGCAGCCTCCGCAGCAGCAGCAGCCTCCGCCGCAGTGATCGATGTACAGAGTGGAGAGGATTCCCCCATGTGCCTTTTGCGATAATGCAAAGTGGCTCTGGTCGGAGGCAGGGATTTGGGCTGCATAATGGCAATCTCATGTTTATGGGCGCCACACTCAATCCCTCCATCCCTCCCTGTCTCACGTTTCTTATCTGTGAGTCGCTTTTGCTGCTCCTCCCATTGGTGGCTCTTTTACGGGTCGACTAATGGCCTAATGGCTCATCAGGGCATGTAGAGCGATCGCGGGAATTGCATTCGAAACAAAACAGAAAGGGGCACAACGACAAGAAGGAGTTGAAATTCGTTGCCATAATTTAAATGAAGGCAGGCGATAAGACAGCACACAGACACAGAGACAGCCAGACACAGTTTTGCATATAAAAGAAATCCTGCAACCAGTTGAGACTCCTTCCAGACCAGCGACGATCGGATCGCTGCATGTGTTTTTGGTTATAATTTAAAGGCGAACGATCGCTAAATGATCTCATAGCTGTCCACTGTCCAGTGCCAGTCTGCAACTGATCCTATTGCTAAATGGAACCAAACAGAATGAAACTGCAGTCGGAAACTCTCGCTGCACCATCCATTTGCGCAGAGTTAGATCTGAAAGCCATACAATTATGCCTGCCAACCGACAATTACCATTAATCCAGCTCCACCAGTGGCAGAAGATTACGGCCCGTCTCTCTGTCTGCAATTATTGGTAGCCAGATCCGGGAGGATCTCTCTCCGAGAGGAGAGAGGCACATCAGCTTTGTACAATGCCTAATGGCCGTAATGAATGGATTGAGCCAGCATTTACGCAAACGCGTTGATACTTCCTCTGACCAAACAAAATATAAATCGAGGCACAGCCCGGACTGCGGACTGCGGACTGCGGACTGGCATCTACTTCATTTCAAGTTGTCCTCGGCCAGCGTTGAGCATTTTTAACCGCATGTCGCTGGCTGATTATACCCTAAGTACGGGCACCCGAGCGTGGAGTGCCTCTGCTCTGTGCGTGGAATGGTGGCAGTGCCTGACTGCGGGGTATGCAGCGGTCGGAGCTCAATCTTTGGCTCAGGTTTTAATGCTGGCCTCCAGAGGGGACACGCCGGTGGGGGGTGCCTGGATGGGGGGAGAGATTTGAATGCGAGTCGGAGTCGGAGTGGAGCTTGTTCGCCAGTCCCATTTCGTGTGGCATGCCCCCGCCAGGGCGACGCTCACGCATATTCCGCATATGCAGACGACGCACGACGGGATGCAGGCGCCACTTGGCCAGAGTCGGATCGGATCGGATGGGAATCGGTTTGGATCGGTGGCAGGGGCAGGGGCAGGGGCAGGGGCAGGGCAACATGCAGCAGGTAAATGTTCAAAAATGCTGCCGAATGTCATTGCCCTCTGCAGCCAGCTGACCTTTGCACATGCCACACACACACACACACACACAACGTGGCAGCGAGGCAGGGCCCCGGCCTGACTTGACCCCTTGCCACAAGCGCCATCGGTTGTCTTCATCAGCTTAGCCCTCGGCCCTGTCAACGTGGCCATCATATCGAATGACAAACTCGACTGCACACTGGAGGCCACTCCCCAGCTCGCCCCAAGCGTCCCGAAGCGGCGAATTATAATCAGAGAGCGGAGAGAGAGAGATGATCGATGATCGACTTGGACTTGGACTGTGACCGCTGCAAGGTGCTTCCAATTTTTTCTGCTAATTAAGCGCTGCTCCTGCTCTTTCCCGAACCTTTTTCGGTACTGTTTTCCGATCATTTATTATGCAACTCTGTGGAAAGTCCATGGATGGGGCCTTCGATTTCCACAGACCATGGGATGGGGTGGGGTTCCTGGAATTCCCTGGGCATTAGATCAACATTCGCTCCTCCAGCATTGATGAAGTTATTCAACGAGAAGTTCTGCATCGAAATGAAAGTTCTCTTCTAATGAGAATTGAGCCAAAAGAGGCCTCAGAGTGGTCTCCTCCTTGCTGGGTCGCCGTTTCGGGCGAAATGAACTTGTCCCCGTCAAAGTGTCGCACTGCGAAAGCGCCACAAAAGGGCCAGAAAGGCCCTGCAGTGTGTCGTGTCGGGAAGCAGCAGCAGCAGCTGCCTGGAAGGGACAACAAGGGAATGCCAGGGGGAATGGGGAATGGGGAATGGGGAATGTTGTGGCAGCGATTGCAATCTCTGTGCTGCAGTTGTCGCTTCTGCTGCTGGCTGCTTAATTTTCCGCCATTTGCCCATTTGCGGAGTTCACTCCGCAGGCGAACCACAAAGCGTATGTGACCAGCAGGAGGAGGGGGAGTAGGAGGAAGGGGTATCCATGGAGATCTCGTGCAGCTGATAAATGAAAACGAATCCGCAGATGAAGTCGTCTCGGGTCTCCTCGAACATACACAATTTAATTAAAGATGCGACTACCGGGCAGCGGCTACCGACTGCAGCAATCGATTGCAGCCTATCGAGGATCGATCGCCCAGCTCCCCCCCCCCACACTAATGAAGATCTCTCGAGAGATCTTACCCCTCACCCGTTACCCCCTCCACAGGCAGACCCGTTGCATAATTCATTTTCAATTTATATGCCATAAAAGCGATAATGGCCGCAATTAAGTTCGTGTTCCTTTGATAATTTTCCACATTTACGCGGCCATTAAAATGATTCCAGCCGCATTCCGCCTGCCCCACCTCAGCTCAGCTCAGCTCAGCTCTGCTCATTTCCATTTCTGGACAGGCTTATCGGGCACCAAAAGACAGAGACAGAGAAAGCATCTTTGAGGGCTGGATTCGTAGTCCTACCTCTTGGGGTAGTGGCTGCGAGGTGTTAATTAGCATTATCTTAATGCACGTTCCGGCACACAGTTCAAATTGAATTATACATAATAATTTGTTGGCCGCTCTTTAAAGTGCAACTTAATGTTCTCCGAGTGGACAGGCGGGCTGGGCTGGGCTGGGCGCAATGGCTGCCGTCTCCGGCTGGTGAGTGCTGACCCCCAGATACACACAAAGATACAATGGCAAAGTGGTTGGAGTGGAGCTCGTGTTAAGCGCTCATTAATCACATTAGATATGCATTAACTCGGGACTCAGGTATCCAGCAGGATGGGGGGAGGACTGAGCGACAGAGATGGATATATGGTGGCATGCTTGAGGAAGAACTTTCAGCTAAGGGACTGGGAACACATTTGCAATGCATTTTTTTTCCCTATTTAACACTAAGACCATCCCAAAGGATGTTCCCTTAATGGGCCTAAAATCAATATTCGGCTGAGCCTTGTGCATATTCAGCACTTTTCTGTGGCCCAAGCAGATCGCTTGACATACCCCAATAACCGTCAACCGATTCGACCATTTGTCGAACCGTTTCCACCCACCCACCGACATCCACAGTCACAGCCTCATGCTCATCCACCCCCTGAGACGCGAGTGCGAGTGCGAGTGAGTGCGGAATATGGCGCGCTGCTGTATGGGTGCTTATCTATGTGAGCGGCGGCTCTCTGTCGCGCGTTGCAGAGTGTGTGAAAGAGGCGGAGCCAAGAGGCAGCATAATGAAAACATTACTGTTGTTGCCAAGGTGGATGTTTTCGGTGAGGGGGGGAACCATAAATAAAATCCCTGGGAGAGCTGGACAAAAGGATGTACCCAAAACATAACCATAATTCCCACCATTCAACACACGAGAACACAAAACCAACAAAGGAAGAGAGAACAAAGTGAGAAGAAGCCACCAGCCACCAGCCACCAGCCATGATGCCCGCGCAGAGAGCGAGAGAGCGAGAGAGCGAAACAGAAAGCTGCAGCCATCCCGCTCGCCAGTGTGCGCGTGAGAGAGACTTGAAAGAGCGCATGAGGTGCTCAGTGTGGCGTGGCATATCAGCACTTTCAAGTTAGTTTCTCTGATACCACCAAATATAACTTTAGAATTATTAAAATGGGAAATTAAAGTTAAGTTATCCCAAAAATTAACCCTCTAGCGGCGGTATCCAACAGATGTCAATGTGTGGGATAAACAGGGTACAGAAACGTTCATACTCAAACCCCAGCAAGCGGCAAGCGTTCAACAGAAGGGAGGAGTTTGCATGTTGGCCTCTCACTCTAGCTGCTGCGAGAGAGCGCCCGTGCTCACAGTTGGACGCAAAAGTGAGCGCTCTCCACGCATATGGCAGCAAAGCGACAACGCAGCGACAGCGACAGCGACAGCGACGCCAGCAGCGATCTCGACGGGTTGTGGAGGAAATGTGTAAAAATTGTATCTTGTATCTCAGAAATTTTTCGGCCGCGGACAAGGAAGCACAGAAATATGTCGAGTATTCCCATAAATTCCGCAAAGTACCATCCAACTGCAAGTTACTAAGTTTTGGAGCCCAAAGTTGCCTTAACGCTGCAGAATCGCTCACTCGCTCGTCCGCGGCCCCACGACACGGATTGTCTCGTTCTTTTTTGAGTGTGTGTGTGTGCCAGTGCCAGTGCCAGTGCCTGCCCCCCCTAAATATACATATACAAATAGTGCATAGCCGATTCCAGTGATTCATATCCCAGATAATGAGCCAATTGTTCAGAGAATAACTCCAAGGAGAGAATAACTCCGCGCAAAAGAGCAGACCAGTAAGCCGCCAGTGGAGTGGATATTGCCAGGGCCGCCGCCACGCCATTATGCTGGTGCCGTCGGACATGATCGCGGCACAATCCAAGATGGTCTACCAGATGAACAAGTACTGCGCGGACAGGGTGCAGGTGCGGAAGGCGCAGATCCACAAGCAGATCCAGGAGGTGTGCCGCATCGTCCAGGACGTCCTCAAGGAGGTGGAGGTGCAGGAGCCGCGCTTCATATCCTCCCTGAACGACTACAACGGCCGCTTCGAGGGCCTCGAGGTCATCTCGCCCACGGAATTCGAGATCATCATCTACCTCAACCAGATGGGCGTTCTCAACTTCGTGGACGACGGCACCCTGCCCGGCTGTGCGGTCCTCAAGCTGAGCGACGGCCGCAAGCGCTCCATGTCCCTGTGGGTGGAGTTCATCACGGCCTCGGGGTATCTGTCGGCCCGGAAGATCCGCTCCCGCTTCCAGACGCTGGTGGCGCAGGCGTGCGACAAGTGCGCCTACCGCGACATCGTCAAAATGATCGCCGACACCACGGAGGTGAAGCTGCGGATCCGGGAGCGCATCATTGTCCAGATAACGCCCGCCTTCAAGTGCGCCGGCCTCTGGCCGCGCTCCGCCTCCCACTGGCCGCTCCCGGGCATACCCTGGCCCCATCCCAACATCGTTGCAGAGGTTAAGACTGAGGGCTTCGACATGCTCTCCAAGGAGTGCATCGCCCTCCAGGGCAAGAACTCCGCCATGGAGGGCGACGCCTGGGTGCTGAGCTTCACCGACGCCGAGAATCGTCTCCTGCAAGGTGAGCTACTATCCGGCTGTAAGTTATCAGCCCCAAAGCACACCCATCCACGTCGATCCACGGGTCGCCCACTCTCTCTCTCCCTCTCGTAGTAATCAGTGACAGTCATGGAATTGGAATTGATTTATTCCCAACAAATCAGCGACTCCTCCAGCTGGATTGATTGTAAATTAGCCACAAAAGTGTCCAACTGGCTGGAAGATGGTTCCATTAGATGGGGAATGCTCTCAACAGTTGATTTGTGTCTGGCAGCTACATTGTGAGGCACAGATCATGCTAGAAAAGATCAATGGGAAAAGCATTTGGTAGCAGAAAGCATTCAAGATCTACTGGAGATCTACTGGAGATTAGGGCCCCAGCCAACCGCGGCAGGAATCACGATCGTTTAGACTCGAACGAGTCAACGACTGGCGACGAGACATCTGATTATCGGGGGACCCAGATATGATATGAGATACGATTCAGCGACGCCTGTTTGGGTACGATCATAAATCTGTTGTTCGATCCGATCGAGACCGCAGAAAAAAAGAGTTCATTCGGGGATTTTGGACAGCTCCATGCGACCGCCTCCGCCTCCGCCTCCGCCTTCGCCTTCGCCTTCACCTTCGTGTGTTCCGTTCGTTCAGCGGCGACAACGCCACACAAATCTGCTGATCCCCGAGAGATAAGCGCAGTCTCAGAGTCACAGAGTCACAGAGTCACACACCGGTGCCCCGCCGCACTGTTTTTGGTTTTGGTTTTGGTGGAAAACGGGTTTCCACATGAACAATGCCAATGGATGGGCCATAAATAAATTTCTAAACGATTTTATAAATATTTTAAATCTCGGCGATTAGATAAAGTCAACAAATAAATAAAACAACGGCGAGCGCTGGCCAGCAAGCAGATGACGAAGAAACCACAAGAAGAGACAGAGAGAGTAGAGATGGAGACGGCAAAAGCTAAGACAAAAAGAAAGGAGAACAAAACAGAAACCGAAATCAATTCTGGATCTCCCAATCGTTGCTTCTTCATCTTCCGCGCTGCTCACTGATCACTGATCACTGATCACTGATCGACACAAAGGCCTCCTCCATTGAAGAGGCGTCTGATGCAATTCGATCCATTTGGTGACGTCGATTTGTGTACTAAATTAGCTGCCACTTGAGACTCCAGCACCTCCAGAGGGAGTGTCGAGTGCCAATACTGTGTGCATTGTCCCAATATCGCTCAATATTGAACCCGAAGCCACGCCACGCCACGCCACGGCACTCCACTGCGTTCGATCGGGAGCTGCAGCGGACGCGATTATCGGGGCAAGAGCTGAGATTAGCCGGGCTGACATGGTGCCAGCGTAGCCATGATTTATGTGTTTCCAACGCACTTGGCCACAATAAATTAGGAATCGTAGAATACATAAATATAAACGTCAGATATTCCAGCCACTCTGTATGGCCACCAGAGAATCGAAAACAAACCACGAACCACATTTCCGAAGGGTTGATCAATCAAATGCATTGGGGCTTTGCTCTAAGACAATTTTCAGGTGCAAAGTGCTGACCAGTCCTGAGCAGGAAAAGTCACCGCAGTAGATCCTCCGATCGATGTTCCATGAGCAGTGGAAAGATCCCAGCGATCCATGCTGTACGCCCGACAGAACTTAACGAATTTCTTTTATTGTCAATCGATAAGCCGATCAACTCTAGCCGATAAATAATCGCCTTTCCATACATTTTGCAGGGGCCAGTCGGCGTCGCTGCTTGAGCATATTGAAGACGCTGCGGGATCGCCATCTGGATCTTCCCGGTAACCCGGTGACGTCGTACCACCTGAAGACGCTGCTGCTGTACGAGTGCGAGAAGCATCCGCGGGAGATGGAGTGGGAGGAGAACTGCATCGCGGATCGCATCAATGGCATCTTCCTGCAGCTGATCTCCTGCCTGCAGTGCCGTCGCTGTCCGCACTACTTCCTGCCCAATATGGATCTGTTCAAGGGCAAGTCGCCCGGCGCCCTCGAGAACGCCGCCAAGCAGGTCTGGCGTCTCACGCGCATCATGCTGACCAATGTCCGATGCCTGGAGGAGCTTTAGAGTGGGGACAGAGCAGAGCGCATCTCCAGATCTCTTTTTCTTTTTGTTTTACTCAAATATTTTAGTTTTTTTTTTTTTTTTTTTTTTTTTTTTTTCTCATTGTGTTGCTACAAGAGAAACTCCAGCTGGGGATGCCGAGGAGAGTGGAGAGTGGAGAGTGGAGAGAAGTGAAATTGGAACCCAAATACTATTTGATATTTCGCTAGATCGTAAATAAGTTTTAGGTGCTTTCGAAAAGTATACGCCGCTTACAGAGTTTCCTACAATTAGAGCCTACAACTAGGGTTACCAACTACACACACACACACACACACACGCACACACAAATATCTAGGTATATGTATTGCCCTTTTTTTTTTTAGAAGCGCCAAGCAAAATTAGCTAAAAATTAAGCTTAAGTCGAACGAAGAAAAGCACAATTATGGAGGAGTTTGTTTTTGTGTCGGTCATCAATTATTTATTCTATACGTGCTTTTGCCTTTTTCTTGTGAGTTTAGTCAATAAAATGTAAGTTTTTCATTGAATATTCCATATCTTGTTCCTGTTCCTGTTATCGGAGTTCACACTGCCATTGCCAGGTGCATAATCAAAGCAAATTTTAGACCCATAAATGGCATTGAATGGCGGCATCGATGGATTGATGACTGTGAAAAATGTCAGCGCTTGACATGTTGCGCATTTGAATTGCGAATTAACAGCAATTCTGCAGACAGCTAACAATCCCCATAAACTTGGCGTCGTTTGGGGCACAAAAGTTACTCAGAGCTCGGACTGGGACTGGGACTCTCTCAATCGTCGTACTTGGCATTTGGCTGGGGCACATACAACATTTTGATCACGTGTCTGCTTCGCTTTTAGCTTTTCGCTTTTCGATTCAAATTAAATTTTATGTCATTCATAAATTAAATAATTTCATTTCATTTCTTTCTTTTTGATGTTGATTTCACTGCTGATTTATTCATGTGTATTTTATGGCTGTAAATTACTCCACAAACTGTGAAAGCCAAGGATCCCCTGGGCAGAAATCTATCCGATCAGATGGGGCATCGTGAGTGCCGTCGGCGGTTTCAAGTTTCGCATATGAAATGCATTTTTGAATGTTTTTCTGCTGATATTTACTTTTGGCCTTTAATGAGTTGTGTTTTATTGGATTGGGTTTGCTCTCTCTCTCTCTCTCTCCATTTTTTGGCCACCTGTTTCATCGGCAGAGAGACAGAGAGAGGGAGATGCGCCGCTTTCCACACAAATTCAACAATAATTAACAATTAATAAATAAATGATAATTGGGCCATTCGCTTGCTCTCTTTGTTCTATTTGTGAACATTTTAAGCACACAATTTGATGTGGCAGCAGGCAGTCCCAGCCCCCAAATGGGTTGCCAGAGCAGGGAGCTCCAGAGTGTGGCTATGAATCTATTTCCACAGACTGTACTTTGAGTAGATAGCTGACCCATAGCTGTGTATCCCTAAGATCTAAAGTGAGCTGGAGCGACATGCAACCCAGCATCCATGGATTACAATCAATTAATTGGCCATTGGCCTTTGCCATTGCCATTGCCTCGGAGACTTCTGTCAGCCAGCATGTTGCTCTCTGCCCTGCTGCTGCCACACAATTCGAAGGAGTTAAATCAAAACAAATGTTTCATTTAAATGGTTAATTTGATCAGGTTTTGGTCCGCATGTTGGCAGCCAACAGCGGCCAAATGAGCAGCTTACACGGAGATGATGAGGCCCGAGAGGCAGAGGCACACAAATGGCTGAGAAATCGTGAGAATTGCATTTGGAATGCCACCAACCAAAGCGGATTGGACGAGGCTGACTGGCTGGCCGGCGCGGGGAGGGGGGGCTCTGGATTTTAATTTGCTGGCTTCAATCAAACTGCAACGAGGTGGAGCGCAGTCGGGGCAGGACGTGCTGCTCCACAGGGCAAGCTGCTGCTACAGCAGCGAGGATCACGCCAACTGGCTGGGAGAGAGAGCAGAGGGAGCAGAGGGAGCAGAAGAGTGCTGCGCTGGAGGACGGCGCTTGCCACTTAGCATAAACGGAAGACCCTGGCCAAGTCTCCCCCCGAAGTCGAAGTGAGCCACGACCTGTGTGGCCGCTGCATCAAGGTAACAAGCTGTAATTAGAGCCTCTTAGCCTGTCATCGCCAGCGTGCTTGATTATAGCCTTTTGACAAAAAGTAAATATTAATTTAATACGTTCCAGCAGGACAGGGCAGGGCAGGGCAGGGCGGGAGAGTGCCGCAGGGCCACAACTCGAACACGAACTCCGCCGTTTGCTGCTTCTGCAAATGAAGCGCCTGAAGCCACTTTGTAGCGCAGAGCAAAATCTACACAAGGAAACTTTCAGTTTCAGTTGGAGTTGCAGCCAGGAGTGCCAAGTGCCAAGTGCCAAGTTCCCCAGTGAAAATGCTGCCCCGAAATGTTTCCCATTTCCACGAATCAAATATCCAAGCTCCAAGTTCGAGTCCCAGCTCACGTCTCTTGGGCTGCCTCTGGTCTGCTGTACGCCCTTTTTTGGGATCTCAAAACAATGGGTTCAAACGGCTGCGCTTCAGCGGAAAACAAAAAGCGGCCAACGAGCCCTAAATCAATCACAGCCGAGGCGACATGTCAGCAGCGAGGCCACAGCCACAGCCACAGCCACAGCCGCAGCCACAGCCAAAATGTCAACGTGATCGTGGGCCACGTCTTGAAAAGGGCCGCCAAGCTGGCCCATCGCATATATTGGCCATATGAAGATCGCTTGGGCACTGGAGCGTGGTCTGCGGGTCTTCGGGTCCCTTCAGTGTGTGCGCGTGATATCTGAACTACGAAATTGAGATCGATTCGAGAGTACGTGTCTGCCATGCCGAATCAGAGTCAGACTCAGAGTCAGAAGCAGAAGCAGAAGCAGAGCCCATTCCATGTGCCGCTTGTTGTAACGATAAATTATGATATTATTTGAAATTAATGTTAAGCATAACGACATCAGTGGGGGCTGCAGAGGATCGATCCGATCGGCTGCATTCAATCACAATTAATATTCCAATCAGATGATGGCAAACACATGTCCGCAATGCCATGTCCATGTCCAGGTCCCAGTGGTAGATCATCACTGGAACTGCAACTGCAACTGAAACCGAGACTTGGACGTCGCATGCGTAATGAGTGGACAAAAAATGGGAACAGCGAGAAAGGAGGAACGAGGGATCGTGTCGCTGATTTGTTCGCTGTCATAATTCAATAAAGTAGTCAAATGTCAGCTGGACTTACGCAAAAAGCTCAGGCAGCGGCTCAAGGAGGAACACACACGCACACCCCGCGGCGGGTTAATGGCCAGAAACGCAAATCCGCTTAGTGGCTGCAACAGGATCTCTCTCTCGCTCTCTCTCTCTCTCTCTCTCTCTCTCTGTTGCTTATTAATTCATCACATGCCGCCGTGTCTGCTCCGCATTCAAAGGGGAATTCAATTTACTTTTAATAATAATAAATAAAATGCCTCAAGAATGCAACTAAAATAGGAACAAGAATTATTATTATTATTTATTTTTAGTTTATAAATACATTTCTCGTTGACTTTGTTTTTCCACGGAATTTACGCTTACAAAATGTTCTCTTGGTGGGTTTTGGGTCTTGGGTTTGGGTCTTGGGTTTGGGTCTTGGGTTTGGGTTTTGGGTTCTGCTGCAGGAACGAAAGAGACAAAAGATACGCTGCGGCGACGACGAAGGAGCAGAGCTGGCGGAGGAGACGAGAAGACAAACGTTTCGGCGACAACGCCAGCCAGCCAGCCAGCCAGCCAGCCAGCCAGCCAGCGAAGTGACAAACGTTTAGATGGATGGCAGGAGGAGGAGGAGTAACAGCGGGCATCGAGCAGCAAAAACAAAGAAGAAACGAGCGACGATTGCACATAAATTATATTCAAATTTTCGTTCAGATCCAAAAGATATCAGATACGAATATAAATAAATACGGGAAAAACATACGAACCGATCCACAGCCCAACTGGCTGTCTGCCGGGTCCTTTCTTACACAATTTATGCAGCCAGGAGTATGTATGCTCTCTCGCTCTATTTCCGCTCTCCCTCAGAGACTGCAGAGCGTCAAGTTCGATGGAAGCACCTGCAACAGATGCAACACTCAAGCGAGCAAGCAAATCTTCAATGGGGAGCCGCAAACTTGACAGTTTCCATCAATCGATCGGCCAAATCCATGCACATTCGATGTGCAAATATACGATGTTCCCCCTGCGGAAGGTGTAATCAAAGTTTTTGTGTGCTCGAAAGTGATTCGACGAGACAATGCCAAAAAGTGCTGCGCTGCCTTGTCTTTTGCCTTTGCTTGTGCAAAGTACATAGATGTACGTAGATGTATGTACAAATGTACAATTTATGTATCTGCTGTTGAAGCTAAAAATGGCGCTGGTCGAAGCAAATGGAATTGCATGGAGTTGGGGCAGTCGAGTGGAAGTTGCTTGCTTGGAACGCTGTCAAAAATTGCCAACTGGCACATTAATCCACGCGACATATTTATGAGTGTAAATGTATCTGTGGCAGCGGCCTCTGTCTCTGTCTCTGTCTCTGTATCCGTGAGATATAAAGATATCGCTGCTGCTGCTAACATGGACGAGGGTTGCTCTTTGCTAAATGAGTGCACATTTCAGATAAATTATTGCACACAGCTCTCGTATGCGACGGCAAACAGCCAAACCGAAAAACAGACACACAGAGAGAGAGCGAGAGCGAGAGCGAGAGCGAGAGAGAGCGGAAGCAGCACTTCAAAGCGCTCGCCGCAGCGTGCCGTCGGGGCCCGCGCTGTGGGCGGAGCTTGTGCCGAGGGCCAATGCACGAGTAGCGCGCACACAGAGAGCGAGAGAGCGAGAGAGCGAGATACACAGATACTCGGCACAGTGCCTGCCTGCAGGCATGTGATTTTTGTTTTATTTGTTGTTGAAGTTGCTTTTTACTGCAGCTACAGATACAGATACAGCTACAGATACAGTATCTTTGCTGTAGTATCGATTTTAGTTTCGTTGAATTGAGCGCTGTGGAATGCATGGCACGAGACAGAGAGCCACACTGACGCGACGACGCCTGTCACGTGACAGCCATGGACATGCACATAACTCGGTGGCTGTGTATCTGTGTATCTGTGTGGCCCATTCATGCGAACGAGATGGCGGCCGCATGCGTTAGCTAAACTGCAACTCCACACCAACACACACCAACACACACACACACCAACACACACACACACACATGCCGTGCACTTTCAGCGCTTTATCTTTATCTGCTCCGAAGCTGTAAATATCCGCGAGATTTACAACGCCAGCGAGCGACGTCGTCGCGTATCTTTTCGTGCGAATCGGTGAATCGGAGAATCGGAGAATCGGGCAATGGCAGGGCACATTCATCGCATCCATCGCATCCATTCGATACGAAAACGACTCGCTCAACGCATCCGCAAGCGGATAGATGGCTAATACGAATTCGCTTGAAACAGCCACAAAGTACACACACACACACACACACACTGCCACTGTCCATATGCAGATGCCGTAGATACCAGATACAAGACCCAAGTGCTGCCGCAGATACGGAGATAAACGTGCGAGTGTAGAGGTACGAGCTACGAAGCTGCCGATTGTCGTGCTCCACTTGTGCCCATTGTTGCCTGGCTCTGCAGTCCGCGCTGTCACCGTAACTCACAATTGAATTGTTCCTTTGTTCTGTCCGCAGCCGCTCTGCAAAATAGCAACAGCAGCAAGCAGCAAGCAGTTCCAGCTACAGCTACAGCTACAGCTACAGCAACGATCCCGATCCCGATCCGGCCGAAACTCCTACCGTATTTCGCATAATTGGCCAAAAGTCACTTGCCGACCGCTTGCCGCTTTGTAGTTTGCCGCCAGACGGAGCGACGCCACGGAGCCAGAGCTCAGTGGATAGGGAAGAGACAGCAGAAGGCTTACAGCATGCTGGTGCCGCCGGATATGTTGGCCGCCCAGACGCGCATGATCTACCAGCTGAATCGCTACTGTGCCGAGCGTGTCCAGGGTCGCATGTTCAAGACATCGGCAGCCATACGGGAGATCTGCAAGATTATCCAGGACATACTCAAGGAGGTGGAGCTGCAGGAGCCGCGCTTCATCTCGAGCCTCGTCGAGTGCAATGGCAGGTGAGCATAACTGGTGACCCCGATCGATGCACCGCAAAAGGTGCGCAAAGAGGAGCAAAGAGTCTGAGCAGGATTGCTTGAATTGGTCACAGATTCCTGCAATCCTTAACCAATTAGCTAAGTAATCTTGCAAATGGTGACCCCGAACGATCAATCGATTGATGCACAACACAAGCCACCAGGCATCCAAGGGGAAGCCGCACCGACTGGGCACTGAGGAGCTGCCACAGCAACGGGGACTGACAGACACTGCACGAGCATGAGTTGACAGTTAACTGACAATGACGCTGCACGATGCATGTAATGATGCGAGTCCGGGGCCCTGGGGCAGCGGTTGGACACTGCGATGACAGTCATCCGGGCACCGGAATTACGCAAAGCCAGTGGATCGATGCCATGGCTCTGTCTCTGCACCCATTCAGGCATCAATTCAGCTCGTTCTCTGTCTGCTTCTGTGTCTTCGTGTAGGTTCGAGGGCGTTGAGGTCATCTCTCCGAATGAGTTCGAGATTGTGCTGTACCTCAACCAGATGGGCGTCTTCAACTTCGTGGACGACGGCACCCTGCCCGGCTGTGCGGTCCTCAAGCTGAGCGACGGCCGCAAGCGCTCCATGTCCCTGTGGGTGGAGTTCATCACGGCCTCGGGGTATCTGTCGTCGCGGAAGATCCGCTCCCGCTTCCAGACGCTGGTGGCGCAGGCGTGCGAGAAGAGCATGTACCGCGACATGGTGAAGGTCATGGGCGACAGCAGCGAGGTGAAGCTGCGCATCCGGGAGCGCTATGTGGTGCAGATCACGCCGGCGTTCAAGTGCTCCGGCATCTGGCCGCGGTCGGCGGCCCACTGGCCCATGCCGCACATCCCCTGGCCGCACCCGAACATCGTGGCCGAGGTCAAGACGGAGGGCTTCGATCTGCTCTCGAAGGACAGCGCCGCCATGCAGAACAAGAACAACAATGCGGCCAGCATGGAGGGCGATGCCTGGGTGCTGAGCTTCCACGAGGCCGAGAATCGTCTGCTGCAGGGTAAGTCTCTCCCCGGCTCCCCAAGCCCCAATATCCATGGAAGCCAGTGCCAAAAACTGTTTCTGTTTTTCCTGCCCAAAAAGGTGGCTGCCGCCGTCGCTGCCTGAGCATACTGAAGACGCTGCGTGACCGGCACTTGGAGCTGCCCGGCAACCCGATCAGCGCCTATCACCTCAAGAATCTGCTGCTGTACGAGTGCGAGAAGCATCCGCGGGACTACGAGTGGGACGAGAGCTGCATCGCGGATCGCATCAATGGCATCTTCCTGCAGCTGATCTCCTGCCTGCAGTACCGTCGCTGTCCCCACTACTTCCTGCCCAGCCTGGACATGTTCAGGGGCAAGTCGCCCAGCGCCCTCGAGCAGGCGGCCAAGCAGGTCTGGCGCTTGACCAGAGAGATGCTGGCCAATGCGAATGCCTTCGAGAAGTTGTAAATGTTTCCTCGAGTGTGTGCGAGTGTGTGGGAGGGAGGGTACTCGATAAAGGTGCTAAATTTTCATTGTCGCTGCGATTGTTGAGTGCTGCCAGATGATCTGAGATAAGACCCAGTGGAGAGAGAGAGAGTCGCTGCCTCCATGCCTCCATGCCATTCGCGTCTGCCATTTTGTATCTGTATCTCTGTGTCTCTGTGTCTCTGTGTTTGTGTGCGTCAAAGGCAAAGTGTTAATGCAAAGATGCGAGATAAGTCCACTCCCCATTCGACTCCTGCCCCTGGCAGCGGCTTAGCCCTGCGAATATTGTTTTTAATAACTCGGAACATCCTTTGTTGCCGTCTGTCTGCCTGCCTGCGAACAATGAGCTCTGGGCTGGCAAAAGGAACATTTGGCCAGGCGGCGGCTCCTTTTACAGCAGCAGCAGTGTAGGGCAGCACTCAACGATTGCTTCTGCCGATCCTAGATCAAAGAGAAAAGTAGAGAGAGTTCAACTTAAAATTGTTTTCCTTTTGCTCCATTCGTACTGTCTCCATAAACAATAGCATAACACTTGTAGGGATTATCCGCAGTTTAATATGCACAAATACTCGTAAATAATTGTGAGAAATAATGCTTGAATAAATTCAAGAATAGCCAAAGGCCAGTTACACGAATCCAACAAACTACAGCAGAGTTCTGGGTGGGGGTTTCTGGCTGACCTTTGGGGACACGGAAAGGTAGTCTCATCGCTGGGATTCGCTCCCTTTTGCGCTCTCATTAGGCGAACTTCGCGGCCCTGCTTGCTGGTGAGTTAATGTTATGATTATTGCCAATTGGCGGATATTTATTTGCAGCTCTTAGCCAACAGGCTGCATCGCGTATCGCGTATCGCGTATCTGTGTCTCCGAGGTACATAAGTGCAGCTGCAACACAACATCTCCCGAGCTCCAGCGACAACTGAGCATCACTTTTATTACCCTTATTTATGGTTATGTGTTGGGCAAAGAGAGAGAGAGAGAGAGAGAGAGAGAGAGAGGAAAAGAGTAGTTTGTCTGCTTTGTTCTCTTTTTGCGGTTTCCCCTTTTGCCGCCGGATCCGTTCGGGCGGGGCGCAAACTTTCAGCGAATGTAATCGATATTTTCTTCTGTTTTGGGTTTTGGGTTTTTGCCAAGAGACTTGGACGGACAAAAGGTGTCTCCACTCCACTCCACTCCACATCGCTCCCTCTGCCTGTAATGGAAAGTACAAGAAATAATCAATGTCAGCACAAAAGGCGCAGAGCCGCACCGCACGGAGCACATAATGCGATAGTCAAAATAACAAATTATGCCGAAGCACGCAGGGATCATGTTACCCGCTCTCTCCCTCTCTCTTCAGTACAGCTGCAGGGGCATCGTTCCACCCCGAGTGGGTGGGTGGATGTTGCCATGGTTTTGCCCTGTGCCTGCGCCTGGGAAAAGCATCATCAGGTGACCGAATCGCTTCGTTGCGCACTTTGCCGCCAGCGTCACGGCACGTGACTGGTCTCTGGCGCTGCGACGGAGTGGGGGGGGAAATGGAATAAGCCAGATGGAGCTGGAACTGTAGCTGGAGCTGTAGCTGTAGCTGGAGCTGGACCATGTGCACGCAGCCACGCCACGATAAGGCACGATTCCCATTGGCACCAGCAGCAGCAAAGGAGAGGGGAGAGGTCCGTTTGTTTTGACAAATTATATTTCAAATGAAATTAAAAGTCGAGTGGGAGTAGAACTCATGGACCGGCATTACCTCTACACAATTCCATATTCCATATTCCATATTCCATATTCCGCTTCCCAATCCTTTTCCTCATTTGGATGGCCTGTCACAACTTTGGCCAAAGCCACACACAAACACAAACACAAACAAAACACACACAAAAAATGCTGTCGCCTGTCGCCCGTTTTCTTGTTCTTTGTTCTCCCTTTTGCTTTGATACCCTCGCGCAGTGAGGGCGGGGCGGGGCATGCTGTGGCCATCCGCACTGGATCCACAAACTGCAATCCAAATGGGAGAAGCGAGGAGTAGGTGAATTTACTTCACCACAGGGCAAATCTCCTTCGGGAATCTCTCTCTCTCTCTCTCTCTCTCTGATCGTGGTGAATAAGTAGTTGGCTCCCCACAGCGGGCAGAATCTCTCTCTCTCTCTCCCGCAAGTGGTCCAGCTGAATGCTGGATATCCCCAGGGTCGAGCCAGCTCAGCCTCTCAGGTAATGTGTAGGAGAACTTTTCGGTTTTTCGTGTTGACATTTATGTTTGCCCCCTCCCCTTCCTGCATGGCCGTGGGCGGTGGCTTGGCAACTGCGTCCCATTGTCGCTCCTGTTTGTCCTCCTCTTCCTTTGTGACTCCTTTTGTTGTAGATCTGAATGTGACTGTGACTGTGACTGTGGCTGTGGCTTTCTTTGTTTTAATTGTTCTCTAATGATATTTAAATTAGTGCTCTAAATGACCCCCGGGCCTGCTCCGGACTCTTCCGCTCTCTCCCCTTCCGTTCCGCCTTTGCTCCTTCCTCACTGTTTTCGTTTGTGTTTTTGTTGTTCGTCGCATTTTGACATTTCATTTGTTTAGATCCGCCAAAGCCCAGCGGGGGTGGGGGTGGTGGTTGAGTCAACTGAAAGAGCAAAGAGCACAACAAAAATACACAGAATTGTGCACAGAGCAGGAGAACTGGAAGGGGTGACATCAAAGAGGTGGCTCGTTGGTTGCTGCTTCTACCCCGTTCGATTCTGGATTATTCTGCACACTTCTTCTGCTTACCTTTAATCTGACTGACTGCCCATTGCCGTTCTCATTCACTCAATCAAACAATCATGGGCATGGGCAGCAATTGATTTGACTTCATATTTTGTGTACAATCATTTATTTTAAGCATTATTGTGAGTGGCAGAAGTTATGGCAGCCAGTCAGCCATTCCGCAGATTGAAGTATTCTCGCTCTTCATTTGTCAGTCAATTGCACACGCAATCACAATCATTGAATCAATCATACCTTTACCCATGTACATCCTCCATCCATCGAAGTTTCATTGGCCATTCTCTAGCTATGGAAGTTGGGCACTTTCTTTGCATTGATCCTAGAGCTAAATGCACTCATTCTATGGACATTTTCGAGTCATCTACTTCCCCGAGCACTTTGCTGGGCATAATTATGTCGTCATTATCAAAAACACGTGGTGCAATTTAACAACATGACAAAAGGGGAGCAGCAGCAGGAGCAGCAGCAGGAGCAGGAGCATCCTCATCCTCTTGCTCCATGTGCTGGGAATCCCTCGATGGAGTGGGAAATGGCTGGCTGGCTGGCTGGCATGGAGAGCGCACACGCCACAAATTATGAATATCAGAAAAATGCACAAGATGAATGGCACAGGAAAATGCTATCCCAAAATGGAATGGGAATGGGAATGGAAAAATCCGAGGGAGTGGGAAATTAGTTTTCCACGCATCGCCAGCAAACACAATGGAGCATCGCAGTGGGAGAGTAGAACAGTGGCAGTGGCAGGGGACACGGGACAGGGGACAGGGGCATTGCCAGCACCTACATGTGATAATTTAGAGCAGATTGTCGCCTCTTTGGAGCGAGAGAGAGAGAGAGAGAGAGAGAGAGCCGGAGTCGGTCGTATTTTTGGATGGACATTTGCATTCAATTACGGCAGCTGTGAGCCGGCTCTGATTTATATTTATGCACGCGCCTCTCTGACGTCCCATAAAGGAAACCAAACCCCAAAATGCTGCCACAGCAGCAGTGGCAGTGGCAGTGGCAGTGGCAGGAGGAGTATGGTGGATGGAGGTGAAAGATCTTCCTGGGGAGACGGCAAAGAGTTGCCTGCGCTCAATCATAATTATGTGATTTGTTTGCGACATTGGCGCGGGACGACTAATTAAACGGCGGAGTGCCAGAGCGGATGAGTGGGTGGAAAATAGATGTAGGGTTATGCCTGCCACGGGGGAGGCATGCAAGAGCGGGCGGGAGGAGCACCATGTTGACGTATTGTCGCTGATGTTGGCTCGTCTGGAATTATGACATTTTGATTTGAGTTCCATTTGATGTCCCTCAGCCGCCGCCCGCTCTGGCGTCTGATTTATGCCAGCCTGATGGATGGCAGCGGCAGAAAGGAGTAATGGAGTGCTGGCTGGGAGGGAGCTACGAGTGTGCAGGCGAAGGTGAACTAATTAAGAGGCGGACCAGCGAACGGGTTGCAGCTGCAAGCCATTTGCTTTTGCAAGATTCGGGCAGGCACTTAGGCCATTACCAAATGACAAACAATTTGTATTGTTCCCCCCCGCCCCCCTCCCCCCCTTCCACTGATTCTGATTCGTGCAGCATGCAACAAGTGACAGAGCGAATGACATTCGGTGGCAACTGTGCGGCGTTGGGTGGGGGAGGGGGACGCCGGCGAGTTAGCCCAAATCGATGAACATTATTAATGAATGCATATCATGGGAATACACCGGGGTGCGGAGGAGGTGGAGTGGGTGCCGGGCAACGGAAAGGCCAAAACATGAAAACGTTCTCAAACAATTTCAGTTCCAAGAAACGAAATGAACTCCCAGCGAAACATTGTCAACATGATCATCAACTGTCTCTCGCTCTCGCTCTCGCTCTCGCTCTCGCTCTCCGACTCCAATCCCAGCTTCGAGCTGCTGTTGCTGTCTCTGTCTCTGTCAACATATTTATGGGCCCAACTGCGGCTGTGGCTGTGGCTTGGCCCTGTGCCTCTGTGGCTGTGTCATTGGAATGTCCAAATGTTCCATAATAAAACAAAGACCCCAACAACAGCAACAGCAACAACGAAAAGCAGAAACTGAAACTGAGACCAAAAGGTACACACTGGGAGAGGCAAAAGCCGGCTTGGAAACGAGTCAAATCAATGCAGAAGATAATATCAATTATATGTAAAAGATATCTACACATGCATGCGATAGATACATTCAACGCGATAAGCATTTCAAATATTAACATCCACAAACAGAAACAGAAACAAAAACACAAACACAGAACGAACCAAGAAAAGCAAAGCGAAGCGAAGGATCCACTGACACGACATTTTTGCCCCTGCCACTGCCCCTGCCCCCATTTGCTGCTCAATTTCATTAGAAACCGTGAAGCCAGCAGCTGATTTGAGTTATGGCTGGTATATGTACCTGGGGACAGTCACAACAAATGGTCGTGGAATGGGCATCCCTCGGTGATCGTATCTGTGGAGTGTACGCGGAAAGCGCTCCTCCCTCAGTTCCAGCTCGAATTCCTTTTAATTTACATATTTTATTTAAGCACTAACTATAATTATAGTTTAAATATACAAAAAAAAAAACAAATAATATTAATAATAATAGATAATTATTATGTTACAAATAAATAATTGTGTTCTGTTCTCTCCAGCGAATTTCATTTTCTTTTCGTTGTTTTGGTTTTTTTTTTGTTTTGTTAATTTTGCAAACAATTCAAAAATACTATAATAAAATACCAGCTGTCTGTTCCCCATGCCCACTGCACAGCCCCGTGCTATAAAAGATGCTATAAACGGGGGCAGTCCAAAAAGTGTTCCCACAGCAGACACCCACCACGGGCGGTGCATATCCTTGCTAAGCAAAGACACGAACACACAATCAATTGTGCTGCCGCCTTTTGGGCTGTGCGCTGCTGTCACTCACAATCTCGTCATCAATCCCTGCAGTAGCTAGTGCGGAGCACATTCTCAGCGCCGGACAGAATGGCGCCCTCGTGCTGGGGACAGAGCTTCAGGTAGAGGTCGCTGGACTCCATCGTCTCGATGAGTATGTACTCCAGGTAGATGCGCGGCGAGGAGAGAATGCGCCAGGTGAGCGGATTGAGGAAGCTCGTCGGGTACTCCCAGTGGACGGTGGCGTGTCCCGGCCGCTGCAGCTCCTTGCCGGGCACCAGCGCCTTGTACTCGTAGCCCGGCTCAAAGTACATGGCCTTGGGTGAGAATTTCATGAGCTCCGTGGTGGCCTTTTTCTTCCTGTCGTGACCGGCAGCTGCGGCTACTTCTTCGTGCAGGCGAATGGAGAGAATTCCCACCTCGCCGCCATGCAGCGTACTCTCGTCGTGGCCAGACACACGCACCGTGATGCGGTAGTGGAGGCGGCAGAAGGGTTTGCTGTCGCCGGTTGTCAGGTAGAAGACGCCCGCGGAGTCGCCCTGCCGCAGCTGGCCGCGCTCCACCTGCTCCTGGTAGTCCTCCTGGCTGTGGAAGCCCATGCGCATGCACGAGTGACCGGGCTGCTCGCAGCTGGTGCACTTGAACTCCTTGAAGCTCTGCGGACAAAAAGGGAGAATGAGTTGAGAGTAGGAAGAGTGTGTCGGTCGTCCGATGGCACTTACGTCGAAGGAGTCGCAGGATATGCCCATAAATGGGCACTGGGTGCCGATGCTCTCCGTGAAGAACTGCTGGCTGCGGATGTGATTGCAGCCGAGGAACTCCTGCATGGTGGTGAACAGAGTGGCCTTGCGGTTGCTCTTCATCACGTCCTGCAGCTTCTTGTCGCAGCCGGGATTATCGAAGCCGCCGTTCGGGAAGAAGTCGACATGCCCCAGGCGCTGATTGATGCCCAGGCCGCCCTTCATCAGCGGATTGGCGTCGGTGTGGACGATATCCACGAAGTGGGCATCCGTGCGGTCCAGCCGGACGATGGGATCGGTGTCCGTGAAGAGCGGTGCCGCCGGATCGAGGCCCGTAATGCGTGCCACCTTCAGGCCAAAGTCCCGCTGCAGGTGATAGCCCGCATAGCCGGAGAGATGGGCGCCCAGCGAGTGGCCGATTATGTGCACGTTGTCCAGATTGGGCAGGCCCAGCTCCTCGTACAGCATGTGCACCACGTGCGCCGTGATGGCGCCCACCAGCCGGATGTTGGCCACTGCCTGCACATATGGCGGACTGGCGCCGCCGCCCCAATCGATCGTGACGACAGCGGCCTCGCCCTCCTTCTCGTGCTTTAGCAGCGCCTTGGCCATGTCCAGCATCCACGGGATCTCGCCCGATTCCAGGTAGCCATGCACCACCAGGTAGATCCTGCCCTTTCTATTTATGCCCATATTCTGCACACTGTCCGGATCGTTGAGGTCCAGATACTTGTGCTGGTCGAGGCCGCGGCGTGTGTAGAGCGTAAAGTGCGGCTCGATCTCTGATGGCTTCTGCGGATGGACATTGATCGAGCGCGTCACCGTGTTCCACGGCCCGTTAATGGGAAAGCAGCCGTAGACCCCAAAGCACTTCACCTCGTTGATGTCTGCAAACACACAAATCGGATTGGGAATTATTGCATGTAGACTCTGGGGACTTGATTTATACGAGTGCCAGTCCCACCCCCGAGCACGAGTACGGGCAGTACTCCGTGTGGCAGGTGTTCGTTCCGATAAGCCCTTTAATCTACTTTACTCTGCACTCAAATCTACACTCAACCTGCTGGTTCGCACTGACGCGATTGGATTGGATTGGATTGGATTGGGTTCTTTGAAACAGTTCATCGATTGCTGAAGAATCCCTGCTGCTGACTCACTGATCCGTGATCTATGATTTTGAAATTCCGATTCTTTCGATGCCCATCTTAACCTTCCACTGATGCATGCAAGAGCCAGTCTTCCGCTTGGCTGATCATTGTCGTCATTGTTTCTTGTCTCCGTATTTTATCGGTGGGTTTTGCTACTGCTTTCCGCTTTGTATCGGAAGTTTTCGATTAGATAGGCGTGGCCGCTGCTTCTGCCAATTATACAGAAAGCCCCCCCCCCCCCCCCCCCCCCCCAACCACCTCCATCCCCCCTCCTTTTTCTCTCCGTTCCACCACACTCACCTCTCTTTTTTTTTGTTTCTTAATTCTTGTTGNTCCCCTAGAGATCTGTTGGTTTGGTTTGTTTGTTGAGCCAACAGACTGAGGCTGAGAGACCACTTAGAAACCACTCCACCTCCTTTGGTGTGTGGAGGTCGTTTCTACATATTCGTGGGTAGGGGGAGAGCACTTATTCCGTTTGATTACTGGTTTGCCTACCACTACTATTCTGGCCATGTTTCATGTTATTTTGTGGGTTGGGTTGGGATGGTGCAATCGGCAATGGCACTACTTACCGCTTTTCGGGGCAGGTGGCAAGTCAATCAAAGTGTTGACTGCCGCTCGACTGGTGTGATTGGCCAGATACAGCATCGTCTGCAGCATCAGGCCGCCTGTGGTATTTGCCACATACATTTTCGAGTTGAGTTTTGCTTAAATGATTCTTTGCTGCTTGTCGCTGATTTGCTGTGTTCTAGGCTGTTAATAGTTCTGTTTTGTTGTCACCCTTCATGCATAATTCCAGAGTGGGCTTGTGGGCACAATAACACACACACACACACACACACACAAAGACACACACACTTGAACGCTTGTACCGACACTTGCACTGGCGGACACGACACTTGGACTGTTCTATAATACTTGGATCCACTCGATATGGGGCTTTGGATCGGTTCCGATGGTTGCGTATTCTCTTTACTTTTAATTAAGTTAACGTTAATCTTATCGACTGCTGGCTGGTCCCTATTCCTCTGTCTGTCTGTACACTCGAGAGTGAATGGCGGTTGCCGTTACTTTTTTCCGCTTAGTCTGTGCTTTGCTGAGCTTTTGAGAACGGTTAATAATCCACTACTGCAATGCGATTCGATTCGATTCGATTGATTGTCTCGTTGTGGATCTTGCTGCAGCAATGAGCCGATCAGCCGCTCCGCACGCAATTTTTATTCACTAGGCGAGCTCAAGACGCAGCCGAAGACCGAACACCGAACAGATAACTGCAGCCGAACCGAACGCTTTGGGCACGAGAGCTTAAGCACGCAGCTTTTCGGTGGAGAGAGAGAGAGAGAGTAGGAAAGGGAAAGGAAAGAGCGCAAGCGCGTCACAGGGGGAGGTAGCGGCCGAAATAACGCATTTCTTGCAGTGTACCATGGGCAAAACGAACGATTTTTTAGGCATATGGACAAGCTCCACTGCTGAAAAACAGCTACAAAACGGAAACAAACAAAAACATGTATTTTGTTTGTGCAACCTTCAACGAATATTTTGCATGTTTAACATTTTATTATTTATTAACAATAAACAAGCATTTAATCAGCACTTTAAAATAATACTTTGTATGGTTTCATGGTGTATTAACAGTGCATGTTACATGTTTACATATGTACATCCATTTAATGTAAGAATTTGAAGCTTTTCACCCCATAGTGCAGTGTAAAGCGAGTTCGGATGCAAAGTACAAAACATCACTCACTCCCCTCTCTCTCGCGCTCACTCTCTCTAAATGGGATGCACCTTCCATGCATGATAAGCAACTACAAAGTCGCCGCACATAGTGCAATGGGGAGAGAGAGAAACAGAAAAGAGTTATAGGGTCATAAACAGAGGACCCCCGCCCCCAATGACGGTGAGAGCGAGCTGTGACTCGTACTCTATCTATCTCTGTCAATGCCAAATTCCAAATCTTTCCAGAAACTGTGTCAAGCAACGCGACGGGCCTTCTTCCTCTTCCTCTTCCCCTGCCACTACCTCGGCCGCTGTCCCATTCAGGTGGTGTCAATGTCTGGACACGATTCCGTTCTTCCCATACCATTCCATTCACCGTTCTTATCAGCTCTCATCGACATCTCCAGCACACAGATTCGCTTTCGACCGTCCGCCAGGCCGGGCCGACCCGGGACGGTTCCAGAGTCCATGTGAAAAGGTGTTTACGGGTTTTTGATCGTTTGACATTTCACCAGGATTTCGATGCGACGATTGACGTCAATCGATCGCTGGGGGCTGTTCTCTGGCACGAGAGACGAGACGAGACGTGACGAGGCGAGAAGCCGCTTCATGGAGCAGACAAAAGTTACACCGAAGACAACGAAGAGCGAAGAGCGAAGACCGAAGGCCTCGCCCGGTATCAAGATTAAGATTTGTTTTTGTTTACGACTCATTCTACCCCATAGGCTACCCCATCAGCATCAGCAACCCATCGCCCCCACTTCACAGAGAGGATGGAATATCAGCACAGAGTTATTTATAGTTCTTTTGTCCCTAATGATACTTCCCTGTGCATCCATAACAAGTGCCATTCGACCTGGAAGAGCACTCTCGCTACGAACCTTAAACTGACCCTTTGACGCTTAAGCTATGGACAAAATTCTTCAAATTCGGTCGAAAACAATTGCCAAATAAGTTAATATGCAGTGAAAATCAACAGCTGTGTGTTCCCTTTCCTATTTTAATCCATTTTGATCAGGAAAACCTACGCCAGGAGCAAAACGGATCAAAATGAAATATAATTTATGTTGCGAAATTAACTCGTAGTTTGTGCAACATTTTCTTACTTTATTTTATGTTCACAAGAACTGAATCCTATCTACAGACGACTAGATGAAGGACAGGGCCGAAATGGATCACTTTTATAGACTTAACTAAGCAATAGTTAGTTTCAATTGAATAGGTTAGCCCGGCTATAGGCGGGCGGGTTTCCGGGTGTCAGACCAGAAGAATTTCACTTTTGGCCTCCAGCGATAAGCATCGAACTTTGAGTTCGGAGCAAAAATTCCGGATTCCGGTTCCAAAATCCAAATGCATTACAACAGCAGCAGCAGCAGCAGCAGCAGCAATGGCATGTGTTTTTCCAATTGTTTGAGAGAGAGTCCCCCAACGTCATCGGATGAGAGTCTGTGACCCTCTCCTCTGGGACCTTTTGCACAAAACAATTTGTTTTTGTCGACAATGCACCGACTATAAATATGAGCAATACTGAAAATAGAATAGAATCAGGAGGAATCTGGAGTATTGAACAACAATCGCTGCTAATATTTATATAGTCGCAGTGGCACACATAAATCCCAGTGGGGTATTTGTTTACAAGATCAGTGACGGACGCAAACGCGACGCAAACACGAGCCGTGCCAAGGGGGTTCATAGTACAAGCGCAGCAAACGCCAGATCTCGCCAGATGTTTCACTATATACTATAGTGCATGCTCGTTTAGTCTTGATTAAGACATTGAAAGCAATCGAATGCAACAGAAAGGGATCAAAGTTGGCTTACAATGTGCGAACATCTATGGGAACTGAAGAAGTTATCTGGAAACCTTCTTTAAAACTACTCCAAGCCTATAGCTGATCGATTACAAAATGGTCGCCCAGTGAGCGATCCTCTGCCTGTTCTGCTCTCGGTCCTCTCAGGGGTCCGTTACTCTTGCCCTTTGATTGCGGTGCACTTAGCATGGTATAACTTTGTGGTTGATGTTTAGTTGCGAACAAACTTTCAGTAAGATTATTTATTTAGGCTAGAAAACAAGTTAAGAGATAGAATTTAAGTATAATTATGGCAGAACTACCCTAAGAGGGCATTATTTGGTTATGGCGGAACCTAAAGATCTAAATATACGATATACTATAAATGATATATGATATATGCGGAAAGCCAAGCAATATAGCGATATAGCGATATAGCTGGGATATATTTTGATGCTCATTATTGTCGGTAAAGTTGTGTGGTTCGTTCTCAAGGCAGCAGTTTGGTTCGTTGGGATAAGCTTCTCGTTGAGGCTCTCGTTTGGTTTGGTTTGGTTTAGTTTGTGGCTGTGTGGCTGTGTGGCGGATGGCACTTAGGATTAGCTTAGCATACAACTAGTTTAACAGGGGGGCCGATGAAGCGTGGCGGTCACTCTGTGCGCTGCATAATCATTTCGATTTTATCACCGGCGGCGGCTATTAGCGGCACCGTCAGGCAGCAGTCAAAGTCCTGCGTCTTCATCTCGTTCACCTGAAACATTGGCGCAACCAGAAAGTTGAAAGTTATCCTGCAGATAAATCTGTGATTCAGGGATCGTCCCACCTGCATGATGCGATCGAAGGGCTTCAGCTGGCCGCACATATCCGCGGGCCCACCGCTGCGTATGCGATTGATGAACACTCCCCGCTCGTACAGGCCATCGGAGACGGAGAAGCCATAGTCATCGTACACCTTGTCCTTGTACAGCGTCACATGGAAAACGCGCTGTTTGCCACTGCCACTGGCACACCCATTGGCACTGGCATTCGTGCTGCCATTGGCACTGGCATTCAGGTTTCCGTTGCAGGTTGACTCCTTGCTGGGACTGCGCGGCCGTCGTTGCACCTTGGCGTAGATGGCCTGCGTCTGCGATGGCAGCTGGTGGCTGCCATTGGCCAGATCCGCATGGCTGCGCAGTATCTTGAGGTCGACCAAGTCGCCCAGATTCTGCAGCAGGCTGGTGGCATGCGACAGCGGCATGCCCTGCACCGAGTGCTCATCGATGGCCAGCAGCTGATCGCCCACATGTATCTGTCCGTTCTTATGGCCAATGCCACCTGGAAAACAGAGCTATCAGAATGCTTCTCCCTGCTGTTAGCCTCGGACGTACCCTCCACGAGGCCACTGATGGTGATTGGCTTGGTGATGTCCTCGCTGCCAGCCAGCGTAATGCCCAGCAGGCCACCCTTGGGCTCCAGGCGCACCGTGAAGATGATCTGGTGCAGGCTGCTGCCGCTGCTCTTGCTGCTCGAACTTGCCGCCGAGCCGTACACCTTGCTCTCCATGGGCGGCGGCAGAGCCGTGCAGTCCACACTGCAGAAAAAAGGGAGGATTGAATATGGATACATGGAGATGTGTGGGTTGGGGGGGATTTTGGGGGGGCCTACCTGGCATAGCGATTCAGCTCGTAGCCCGTGTACAGCTGCTCCTGCTGCTGCTGCTGCTCCTCCTCCTCATCCTGCTCCTCGTCCTCGTCCTCCTCCTCAGGCAGCTCGGTGGTCAAGCTCTGTGTATTCGCACCACCAAAGGAGCGGCTGAACGAGCCACCGCCCACATGCCGCAACTGCACCGATGACGAGGATTGATCCTCCTGCTGCTGCTGCTGCTGCTGCTGCTGCTGCTGCTGCATGGGCAGGCGGAAGTACTCCGGCTGCGGTGTGCGTGACTTCAGGGAGATGCAGTCCGCATATTTGCCAGAAGTCACATAGGCACTGCTGTACAGATCGTGCTCCGGCATGCCCGAGGGGCAGTTGCTGTAGATGGGACTGCTGGCCATTGGCAGGAAGTCGGGCAGCACCACACGCTTGATGGTCAGCGTGGTGAAGTCAGCTGCCGTGCTGCTGGGACTCACGGGGGGACTACTGCCCGACTGCTGCTGCTGCATCGGCTGTGAGTCCTTGAGCAGCGAATCAACATTAAAGTGCTGCACCGGATGCTGATCGACGGCCAGCAGTATGTCGCCCGTCCTCAGGGAGCCACTGCGATGGGCGGGACTGCCCATTTTGACATCAGAGATGACGAGGCCGCCGTGACTGGAGCCGCTAACGCTCAGTCCCAGCCCACATTTGCCCGCGCGCAGCAGCTTCACATTGAACACGCCGCTGGACGGCACCACAGCGTCGGGCATATCGAACTCGATCTCCAGCTCCAGCCAATTGGCCGGTGCACAATTCATGGCGCTTATGTTCCCATTGGACCCGTTGCCATTCCCATTCCCATTTGAGGTGTGACGCAGGGAGCCACCTTCCAGCAGCTGCCGCATGGCCATCGCATCCAGGCTGTACATTTTGTTAATGGCCACGATGCGATCGCCAATCTGAATGCAGCCACTGCGATCGGCCACGGAGTCGGCGAGTATTTGGCCAATGGTCATGGCACCGGCGGCATCCCCGCCCGCAAGGACAATGCCAGCACCCT